AAGTAGGGTATTGTAGGTGGAAAAAAACACAAAAAAAGTATAAAGTACTAAACATTCCTCTATTTACCATAATACTTGAAGCACATTGATGTTACATGCATTTAGAACACATGTAGATAATTGCTTCCATTTGACTTTGTTTTTTTTTTTTCTGTAGAATGGATCAGAACCATCTAATTATAGTTGTTAAAGTGTTGAAAGCTTACATCGACTTGCTCATACTTTTGGCCAATTTTGCGAATTGGTTAATTGAATATGAACAAAGACATGATCAAAGGAGAACTTTAAGACAAAGAACATTCACTAGATTTCAAATTAGATCGATAGAAATCCAACGCATCACACGTGAAAGTGACATTATTTGTGTAAATGAGTTTCAAATTGATAGGAATGCATTTGCTATTTTGTGTGAGTTGCTAAAAACACGTGGTGGACTATTAGATGATGGTAATGTGACAATTGAAGAGCAAGTTGCTATGTTTGTAAACATTTTAGCACATCACACCAAAAAATAGATGTCTTCAAGTTAAATTTTTCAGGTCGGGGAAATAATTACTAGGTATGTTCATCGAGTTTAAAGTGCTTTGCTGCGATTGCAAGACATTTCGTTTAGCAAACCAAATTACTATTTGGCTGATGTAGGATATGTCAGTGGTAACGGATTTTTGTCACCATATAGAGGTATTAGGTATCATTTTTGAGAATGGGAACACATTGGTTATACACCTACAAATAAGAAAGAATATTGTAACATGAAACACTCACAAGCTAGGAATATCATAGAAAGGTGTTTTGGTACTTTGAAGAAACGTTGGGCCATATTACGAAGTCCTTTCTATCCAATAAAACTTCAAGGAAGAATGGTCATAGCATGTGCTTTGCTACATAATTTTCTTAGGATGTACATGGTTCTTGATCCGGAAGAAAACACGACACTCACACTAGAAGATATGCCTATAGGGGAAGAGCAAGTTGAATACAATGATGATGTTGAATCTATTGATGTTGTTGAATCAAGTAATGAGTGGACTCAATGGAGAGATGACATAGCCCAATAGATGTTTTAGTCGTGGATGTCAAGTAGATGAATGGACTCAATGTATTGTTTTATTACTATTTTTGAATTTTAAAATGTTATTGTAATGTATTATTTTGTTATTAATGTTGAATTTTAAAATGTTATCGTAATGTATTATTTTGTTGCTAATGTTGAATCTTAAAATGTTATCGTAATGTGTTATTTTGTTATTAATGTTGAATTTTAAAATGTTATCGTAATGTATTATTTGTTGCTAATGTTGAATTTTAAAATGTTATCGTAATGTATTATTTTGTTGCTAATGTTGAATTTTAAAATGTTATCGTAATGTGTTATTTTATTACTATTGTTGAGTTTTTAAAATGCTCATCGTAACGTATTGTTTTATTACTATTGTCATGGTGTTAATTTTGGAATTTAAAAGATGGCGGATAGACGTAATTGGAGTATCCAAGAAGAGGATGTACTGATTAGCATTCAACAAGATATTGTAGCCGTCTGTGGTAGGAGTGATAATGGGAGTTTTCGGACAGGCACATATGAGCAAATCGTTTTAAAGATGCGTGAAAAGATCTCGGGTCTCAATATAACATTAAAACATATACAAAACAAAATGAAGCGGCTCAAAGATAAATATTCAGCAGCTTATGATATGTTGAATACAAGTGGTTTCGATTGAAATGATGTACATCAATGCGTAATGGTTGATGCTCAAGTGTTAGAGGAATACTTAAAGGTAACACTTATATTTTTTATGTGATTATTTGATATTTAATTTCATATGGATAGTGATTAATATTATATATATTTATGCATATTTTTACAGAAACATTCAAGCAAAAATTATATTGCCAACAAACCGTTTCCCCAATATGAGCGATTGAAGACAATATTTGGAAAAGATCGAGCTACATGATCGATGGCGGAATCTACCGCAGATGCATTGGAGCACATCAATTTAGAAAGTGAAGTCGGTACTGATATCGAAGAATTGAACGTGTCTTTGACTACTCCTTCTAATGGTGCTTCTGCATCCTCCATTCCACAAGACGTAGAAGCATCATCCAAAAAGAGAGAGAAAACTTGGTGTTTCTGAAGATGCAATCAAGATAATTGAAAAGGGGTTGAATTCGTTATCCGAGGAAATGGGTAAGTTGGTATTAGTTGTTTGTACTTCGGGTTTACAAACTATGCCCGATGAGTTAAGCAACATGGGTTTTGATGATGATCAGGTTATTGCTATTAGCATGTATTTTGCGGATAACCCGATTCAACTATGCCTATGGAATAGCATTAATGCTACTTTGAAGCCAAAATTTGTGAGGACCATCTTAAAGAAGTTAGACATGTGATGTTAGTTGATAAACATTTGATCTTTTGTGTTTAAGTCTTTTGGTGCACAATTGTAAACATTTGATCTTTTGTGTTTAGGACTTTTGGTACACAAAAGAAACATTTGAATGTTGGTAAGCATTTCAACTTTTGTGTTGGTGAACATGATGTTTAAATCTTTTTGATTTATGAATATGAGTTTTTAATTAATATTAATATTAGAATTTTTTTTTGTATTTTTATATACTATTTGTTAACATTTATATTGATTATTTAGTGAAAAAATACTAAACAGCTCACTGGGGGTAAATTGATCATTTTAACCGGTACTGCTATATTCTGTCATATCTTATCAAACGTTGAACACCTATCATGACCTGTATGCGTACCAAACGCACCCTTAATGAACTATTAGATCTTCTTGGGCTTAGTGGTTCTTAACGAAGTTGACTACAGCGGATTTATGTATGCATGTAGTATATATCTATGTATGTAATGAAAAATTGTTAATTTGTTTAGAACTTTCAAATTATAAAAAAAATTAAAACCGAGAAGAACTTCATCAATATAAATGATAAATACATTTATACATCTAAAGAAAAAGTTAAAAAAAATAAAAAATTAAAATATCAACAAATTAAAGTATCCGACTGATATATTAATTTTTAATATTTTAATAAGGGCAAATTGCATAAAAAAGTAACGTAATTTAACTTGATTTCTATTTTGGGTAACGTACTTTCAAAACTTTCATTTTGGTACCTAAGATGTAAAGTTTTAAATATTTAAGTACTCGAGTAACTGGTTGAAGTATTAACCGGTTATCATACTGATGTGCTGAGTGATGTGGTATCCAACTCGGTATTATTTGTTGACCTAGTCAGTGACGTGAATTTTTTTAATCTAAAATTAGTCTTTTTTAGTCTAAAATTAGTCTTTTTTAGTCTAAAATTAGTCTTCACTGGGTTACCCGGGTACTTTAATGTTTAAAACTTTACATCTTAGGTACCAAAATGAAAGTTTTGAAAGTACGTTACCCAAAATAGAAATCAAGTTAAAGTACATTACTTTTTCATGCAATTTGCCCTTTTAATAACTAATTGATCAATCGGAAACTCGTCAGTAATTACCGACGGATAATTTATATTTTAATTTTTTTAATTAATAAATTTAGAATCCGTCGAAAATTACTGGCGGATTTTGGCCGTCAATGAAAATTTATTTTCTAGTAGTGAAAGTTTAAGTGACTATTAATCCACAACACTACAACAAAATTGAGTTAATAAAACCCTAAAAATTGTCAAAGTGTCATAATGGAGTATTTTATGAGAGTCAAGTGTATAGGATCAAAAAATAAACGTCTTATCCAAAAATGTTACAATAAATCATTAGAACGCTTTTAGAGAACGAATTAAGTTTTTTGGGTTCTTTTTAAGATAAACAGTCGTATTAATTCTTTTATAGGACACAATTTGAAAAAGTGTCCTATAAAAAAATAAACTTTATAGGACATTTCTCAAAGTTGTCTTATAAAATAGTTAACATAACATTTTATTTTAAAAATGTAATAAAAAACGTATTACAACATCTAAAAACGTCTTACAAACTTTTTAAATACTTTTAGATATGACACTTTATTTTTTAATCTGATAAACTTAAGTCTTATAAGATACTCTATTAAAACATTTAAACACATAAGACATTTTATAAACACAATTTTATTGGAATGAAAGATGAAATAAAATTAATCTATATTTTTTACACAAGGAGCTGGTTTCAATAGAGAAATGAATGTAAAGGTAAGAGTATCTCCAATGATGAAAATAAAGACTTTGTTAAAAAAGGTTGAGAATCACTTGATAAAAAGATAAATCATTAGCATAATAACTTAAAAAATGATTTCACATTCAAAAGTTAAGAGGATGTCAAATACTAAAGACATTTGATTATTAGAATTATTAGGGGGTCTGGGATTGTTTATAAAAATAATTATTGACTTACTTTGATGTAACATCGATAATAAGCATTTTTAAGTATTTGAATAAACAATTTATATTGGTATTAAACTGGTAATAACTTTTTTAATAAGTTAAACTATTATAACTTATGATAAATTAATAAGTATTTTTATTAAAAAAAAATAAGTCAGCAATTCTAAACACCCCTCAACTGATGTGATAAATATATAGTATATTTTTAAATACTTACCATTGCCAACAGTGTAGGTTTTTTCTTCATAAAAAAGAATAAAAAAGAAATAAGGGAGTAACTGGGATTGAGCCACGTCGATCTTTTTTTCTTCGTTTCACACCTTCAATTTAAACCAATTCTCTCTCTCTCTCTATAGAAAATACCATATATGCTGTACTATGCTATGCCCATGTCCCCACTCTCTTCTTTCTAGTGGAAACGTGAGCTGACCAAGCAGCCTTTTCTCTCTCTCTCTCTCTGTCTCTCTCTCTCTCTCTGTTCTTATGGAAACCCTATCTTTTTCATCTTCTTCTACATAAGCAACAATCCATCAAATTTGCTTCTTCAAGATCCCACCTTTTTGCATCAAGTTTCAGCCTTTTTTTAATCTTCTACTCTTCTTCTCCAATTCTATCTGTGGATTATCCATTCGTCTGAAGATTACTGTATATCTTCTGTGTGTCTTAATTTGCTTGCTTTTTACAGACGAATTCGAAACAAGAAATGGATTCTGGAAACAGTGGGAGCATACAATCATCCAGTGGTGCTGATGAAGAGTGCGATTCACGCGCCGCCGTCAACTCTCATGCTGCTTTCATCCCAACCCATCACCAACCTCACCCACCACCACCACCTTTCAACCACCATATGTTTGATCAGAATCAGATCAACAACCCCTTGTTCTTTACGGCGTCCCCACAACGCCAACTTCTTAATCTTGACTCCGCGGTCTGGTCAAAAACCCTACCTTCTTTCTCGGACCACCACTTCTTCCCTTCATCTTCACAACCCACCGCCCATACTGTTCCATTCTCACCAGCCACCACTATGACTACCACCGCTGAACCAATTACGTCGACCACCGCTCCTCCGACTGGTGCTCGAAACCCGAAGAAACGATCTAGAGCTTCACGACGTGCACCAACTACTGTGTTGACTACGGATACTAGTAACTTTAGAGCCATGGTTCAGGAGTTCACTGGCATCCCTGCACCACCTTTCACATCATCTTCATCGCCGCCGTTCCCTAGGTTGACGACAAGCTTTGATCTTTTTGGTAGAACGTCTTCCATGATGAGATCCAACACCAACAACTTTGATAACCTACCTCAACTACCCCCTTATCTTCTTCTTCCATTCCCGCAAAAACTCCAATCTTCATCTGCATCTTCTTCATCCTCAATTTCTTCATTGTTGGATTCCAGTAATTTGCTCACCACCATGCAAAACACAATCTCGTTTCCTTCTAACTCTCTTAATCAATCATCGTTTCTCCACACGAAAACCACACAAAACGTGGGCTCTTCAAATGGGTATGGTGTGATAGGACAAGCCCAGGTTAATGAACTTCACACCAGTTTACCAGACCTTGTCTCTTCCAAAGGAACGGCACCCGGACCCACCACCACAACCACAAGAAGCGACGGGGATCAGATGGCGTCAGGGAACTGGGACGGCGGAGGCGGCGGTGTTAACTACACCAATGGAAAGGAATCGTCTCGCGTGATAACAGATCATCATCATTCTTCTGGTATGAAAGCTGATCAAGGGTTCATTGAACCCTGGATTTGTTCTTCAGATTAGTGAAATATATATAAATATATATACACCATTTCTTATGAACTTTATGATTACAAGTAGGTGGGTATGGATTATGATCTTTCTCTCTAACAATGGCAAATGAAGATTTGGGGTTATTTTGTGTATAAATACCTGATTAATTTATACTACTAGGTTGAAGAAAACTATTATATAATGAAATTATATGAAACGAATGTGGGTTTTGTTGATTGAGTGGATTCACATGGGACTTGACTTTTGGATACTGTTTACGAACATGGAGAAGATTTAAGAGATCTGATCACAGTGTGTTCATATTCTTAGTACGTGATCTCTTTATGTGCATTATGATTTCAAAGGCAAAGATATCTTCACATTTCTGATTTTTCTCTTTTTCTTTTTTCCAAGACTAATTATGAGTTTGATATCATATTGCTTGTAATTTAATGTTGAATCAATTATTACATTTGCTGAAAATTTAGTTAAATATGATACATGAAGTAATATGTATATATAGACTTTGTTTCATATACAACTTATCGCATTTGTACAACCAATGCAACTCAATATATCGAGATATTTATGGAAATTATGAGATTTTATTTATTATGATTTGAATATTTATGAAAGATGAATATGGTTCATTAATTATAATCGATACTTTATATTAGGAAACAATAAAAACTTCTATGAAATCACATATTAATCAAATGAAATGGACGGTTGAGATTGAGTTGTATTGGTTGCACAAATGTCAAGGGTTGTATAATAACCAACCTCTCCCTCTCTTTCTCTCTCTCTCTCTCTCTCTCTCTCTCTCTCTCTCTATATATATATATATATATATTAGTTATTTAGCTTTGTTGTTTATAATATTTATAAACGAATAATCATGTGAGAATAGGAGTCAAAGGGGATAAGTCTAAGAAGGGATTTCAACCTTTTTATAATTCTTAATCCCTAAACAATGCTATGAATTAGGCTTTAAAAGGAAATTAATCTAGTGTATTAAATTAGTGTTGATCTATCGGTTCTTTCCAATTAGGGTTGATAGAAGGGTGGTAATATCTTTTTTCCTTTCTTACCATAACTTTCATTATCACCAAAACTCAAACCTAAAATTGTGATAACCTTGAAAATCAATACATCATGTGCTATTTCATGTAATTTTCTCATATAGCACTAGGATTTATTATATTGATTAACATATATCTGTTTTATAATTTGTTTGTTTTATTATATGAATATTTATAGCATGTTATTAAAGAAAAAATTATATGTAAAAAAAATTCACACTATAAACCGCATACATATGAAGAAAACACATTGTGAAACAAATATGTGTTTATCAGTGTATACATTAAATGCTAGCCTAGAATTAGAATAAAACATTATGTGAAACCATACTTTAAAATAAAAAAATTCACGGTTATCATAATATATGAAATTCTCAAATAATCAATTTCATATATATGTGTGTGTATTATTTCTAATAAATATATTTTAGGGTTTCGATTCATTCCCTACAAAAAAAAAATGACTTTTATCCACATAAATCATCTAAAATAATTCGTCGGTGATTATCGATGTATAACCCAGAAAATACCAATGGATCACCCAGAAAATACCAATGGTTTCAGTAAAATCTGATGTTTTTCAAGCAAATACCAATGGATCACCTAGAAACTACCTGGATAATCTGTCACCGATTTGAATTTCCTACCAACAATTTACCCACCAGCGACAGATTTCCAAGGAAAAATATCGTAGATAAATTTTTTTCCATTTATTATTGTTTCTTGAATTTGATTAATATATGAAATTGTCGGTTGATAATCAATTGGAGGACACTTTACGGTAGAAATGGCAACGGGCTGGGTTGGGGCCGAGTATTGGTATTCCCGTCCCCGATACCGATAGCTAAAACCATCCGCGTAACCGCACCGATCCCCGTTGGGGATCTTATCGGGGATCCCCATCGGATCCCTGCGGTTTTCCCGATCCCCGTTGGGAAACCCGTTAAGGGTAAAAATCATCATTTTCACCTTTGGTTATAAGCGAACCCGAAACTGAAACCGATCTGGAAAAAATTACAATATGCTAATTTTCACAATTAAAAGTAAATTACATTTTTTTTAAATGTAAGTTTAAATGTCTCAAACATAATCGAACCAATTACAAACAATGTATTAGATAACAATATAAAGCTAAACAGAAATTCAAATATCATACAACTAAAATCACGATTTTAGACAAATAAACTAGACTTTTTCATGAGCTTTAATTTGGATTGTTAAGGTAAAGCGAACAAAAGTTTTTTAAATTTTAATATTGCTATTTTCTTTTAATGATATTATATATATATATATGTATATAAATTAAAATTAATATATATAGGGGCTTAATCAAATGAGAATTGGTTAGTTTGTGTTAACTGTGAGATCCAATCTCAATCACAAATCAACGGATAAATTAGGAAATTAATAATTATGGTAATTTGAGTTAAAATTATAATTAGATGGCATTTTAGTTATTTTTAAAAAACTCCTCTCTCCTCTCTCATCTCTCCGACCTCCAATCTCCGGCCTCCGGTGAATAAAAATCTGGCAGGTACCAAGTAATCACAAAGATACACAATGTGATATACAATGGTACTCAAATGGTATCACAGTATATCACAATGGGTATCACAGTATATCACAATGTGTATCACATTGTGTATCTTTGTGATTACTTGGTACCTGCAGGATTTTTGTTCACCAGAGACCGGAGATTGGAGGTCGGAGAGAGGAGAGAGGAGAGAGGAGAGATGAGTTTTTTAAAAATACCTAAAATGCCCTCTAATTATAATTTTAACTCAAACTACCATAATTATTAATTTCCTAATTTATCCGTTGATTTGTGGTTGAGATTGGATCTCATAGTTATCACAAACTAATCAGTTATCTCTTACATGAGCCCCTATATATATGTGTATATATATATACTAGAAGAGTACTCGCGCAATGCAGCGAGACACATCTCAATTTTAATGTTCTATTTTATTATTTGTCTCTGTCGATTTATGATACGATTTTATGTGTTTTTAAAAAAACAATAAATATTTTATTTTTGAATAAAATATAAATTTGAAAATATCATAAAATTTTGAAAAAAATTATATCAATGTTAATATCAAATCAACTGTTTAAAAGTTTTCATTTTTATGTAATTTCTTTAATTTATTTTTTATTATAATTTAATCTAAGTTTAATAATGAAATAATTTACTTTTGGTTTAATAATATAACATTTTATAAAGATAATAATTAAGTATTATGTTAAAACTTAATAATTATCCTAATTATATTTTAGATTTTTTTATATTTAAAATGAGATGTTTATCCTGTATTTGATTATGTATATCTGCAGTTAGTTACACGAAGTCAGATATGACGCTTTAATAAGTTGTACTTACGCACAATCTACAATCTACTTGCAATCTTGTGTTTTAAGTAATATGCATTAATAAATAGTACTTTATGCATAAAAAGTGGTTTTTAAGAGTTTTTGTCAAATGCTTTATAATATAGTATAGATATACATATCGGGCCGGGCCGGCTACCCCTGTTAAAATCCCTAAATTTTTCCCCGATTCCCGCCCCGTCCCCGATAAGATATCCCCGAACCCGATCCGAAAGTTTCGATTTTCGGTTTTTACCATCGGTTTCATTTTTTTTGTCATCCCTACTTTACGGTCATGTTTAGCGACCATTAATCAAAAAATGTTTGTTTGATAAGTTATAACCTAGCTAATTATAACGTAAATATATTTTACATGAATACCGCTTGTATTTTTCTTTAGGTAAACTTTATGGTCATGTTGATTATCAACTAATTAAGACTTGGGATCATGTGAGAAAAAAAGTTGTTTCATGAGACACGTGAGACAACATTTTTGCATTTGAAACTTCACAACAAAAACATTGTGAATATTACCTTTATAGTGTTTTGTTGTGAAGGTTCGATTTTTTTTACCTTCACAACATTTTGTTGTGAAGTTTCAAATATAAAAATATTGTTTCACTTGTCTTACTAAAACAACTTTGTCTAGCGTGAACCCAACCCTATCAACTAATTAATTATATGAGAGGTGATAAATTTAATCAATTAACCACTAATTTATTAGTTAACAATTAGAATTTCATCTAACAATTAATGTATGAGTTAATTTGTCAAAAATATCTTTAATTTATATTAATGGTCATAATATAAACTTTCTTCTATTTATTTAAGGCTTACCGGTAATCTAATTGTAATAAAAGTGAATTACATTAATGATTTGAAAGGTATAACATTTTTTTAAATAAAAATAATGTTTTTTTTTTCTCTTTAAGATTTGATTAGAATTTGTTTATTGCTCATTAAAAGACTATAAACTGTAGATATCAATAATTTTAATTTGAAAAAGAATTATTTTCATAAAAAATATTACAAATATTAACCGACAATAATTTAGGGTTTAATTTTTTATCAATTGATACATTGATAGATAAAACTGATGTATATCTTTTTTCGTTTTACAAGTGTAAGAATTTATTCGCTCAGAAAACGTCATAGGCTTTGTAAGTTATTATTATATGGCTACAATACGTGTCATACAAAAACGCTGCCAACGAGCATGTACATAAAAACATATAAGATCGCACATAAAAATACATTTGCTTCTCTGAATTCAAATCATGTTGATTGTTAAATAATTATTCTTGTAGAATAATTATAAAATATGTGTTAAAATATAATTATAAAGTGTTATTTGTAATTAAATGTATATAATTATATTAAACTTTAAGATAATTATAGAAAAATATTACAGATAATTACTAAAACCTTATTTAAGTAATGGGCTGGTGATAGGCTAAATCAAATTAGGTGATTGAATTTTTTAGCATTAGCTATCAATAAAATACAGAAAAGAAACACATTCTTTTCCGTAAGACACATATTAGATATATGGTTTTGGGCTAGCACCCGGTTGATGTAAGAAGCGTTTTCGTGAGTGGATCACCGATAGAGGCAACCTACTCATTGTTTAGATTGATCAAGTTGGAGACATTTAACAACTCAACCCAATGTTAATGATTTGGAAATTTTCAACCTGACCTGATCCAACCCAAACAAAAGTACAACCAAACCCAATCCAAACTATTTGAATTGGTCTGATTGGTCGAGTTATGTTTAGACGAAACAAAATCAAAACTTAAAACATAAAAACAAAGGAGAATCAAAGTAAGAAGTCAAAGATTGACGTAAAAA